AAGTGAAGAAGTTTTCACAGTAAGACAGTGAGCTGAGCTACAGGCTGTTGTGACGGGGCGGGAGCAGTGCCAGCTCAGGCCTGCAGGGGCCTCGGTGGCCTCAGCCCTGAGATGAGCAATCTCCAAATGCCATGATGCCATGTGACCTCTAGTCATTCAAGTGGAAGGTAGTACTGCCCGTTTTAGGGCTCACCTTTCCTTGTCACAATTTCCTGTAAAACTCAAAGGTCCATTGCTAAACCCAATTAAAGAGCATTGGGTCCACATAAGAATACCAAGAAGTGTTCCAAACCTTAAGTTCAGCAATGGGGGAAAATAGGCTCATCTACCATAAATTCTCCTCCCCACTTCTTTGTTATCTCTTATAAATAATAGAAAACCAAAGACAAAATTAAAAAGCAATGAAGAATGTCCAGTAGTTTGCCTTATCCAAGGAAATGAGACTGCGCTGTTGCCCCGATGGACTTAATAGGGCTCAGCCCAACTGCAGTTTGGCTTTAAAGCTCAGGCCAGCAACTAAATCATGTACTGTTTGCTGGGCTCATGACCACCCACACTTGAGCACTGCCCAGCATTCTCTGAAGTAGCATGCTGCAAGGCCAGGAAGGCTAGGAAAGGGCCACAGAGGAGGACAAAGGTAACGCTGGAGGGGTCTAGCACACCGCACTAGGAAATGCAAGTACTGAGCCACTGCGCCAGAATTTGTCCCCGTCAAGCCCAAGCAAGACCTTCCCACGTTCTTTAATTTAAAGGAATTAAGACCAGTGACTTACACACAAGACTAAGGGGTGCCTTTACAGCAGCATGCCCAGAAGCTGCAGCATGCTTGTCAGATTCCAGCCCTGGAAAATAATATAAGTTGTCCTCTGTGCCAGTAAGAAAACAAATCCTCGAAGGGAGCAAAACTTGACGTTCTGGGATAACCGCTCACATAAAGGGAAAACCTTTTGTGGTTGCTAACTATAAAACTTGCTTTCTGAGCAAGAGGTTGTTTTAAGAAACCAACTGTAGCATGACACCAGGGCCAATATCTACCATGCAAACTGCACAACACCACTGTGTTTAGAATACCCCTTTACCAGCTACTTAAGTCCCTGCTGGTCCAGATTTCCATCTCCATTCTAAGGGTTGGAAACCATCAGTTATTAAATATTTGCAAAAATATAATTTCCAAACTACGTCAATTGTTTTTATGAACCTAACTGTGGCCACAATAAACCTGGCTATTTGTAGATATCTGAGGTCTCCCAGTTAATGTGAGAAACTAATAATGAAATTGGCCTTGTTCGGAAACAACTAAGTAAAACACGAGTATGCTAGGAAACATGGACCTCATGACCCTTCCATAAAGGTCAAACTCAGTCAGCACAAAAAGTATATATCGGAGTCTTTTTAAGTCAAGTAATATTCCAACACTTGCAGCTGGGCCACAGAGAGTGGTCTCGGTCGAGTCAAATACCATCTGAAGTCCCACTGAGGATCCAAGATGTAGCAATACAGATCCTTCGCTTCCTTTTATAGTTTTGGGTAAATCAAGCAGTGTAGATGGCTTAGTTTACACACCAGGTAGCTTGGGTCATGGAACATCCCCATTGAATATGCTACATGGACACACAGCAACGCCTTCTATACTTGTGACTTGTAGATCCGTAAGATACAGACTCACCGTGCAGTCCTGGCCCACACACATGATGCCAACCCTCTCGTGAGACAAGGATGCTAGCCATAGCAAACTCCAGCTGCTGGGCAGAGAAAGGAGGAGGGAAAGCAACAGAGAGCAGGCAGAGGTGTGCCAAGAGCCCAGAGAATCTGCAAGTTGGGTAATGGTGACCTAGGAAAGGTGTCAACAAGACTAAATGAGGAATCTGGACTATGAACTAACACTATGGACAGGAGTATATAAACTGCTTCTTGGTAAAGTTACTTTAAAAATGAGCCTCAACTTTTGTCAGTTGTCAACATTGCTGAATTATTACTAAGCAGAATGACATAATCAGTATTTTCCTCAAGATACATAGGGTTTGTAGGTGTTTGAGATCGGAGAAGATAAACATAGAACAAGATCTGAATTGACACAGGCTGGGTACAATATCAAGGCAACCATCTGCAGGGGGAATCCTCTCAAGGGAGCAAAGGGCACTTAGCAAACTCCAGACACACAGAGTCCTAGCCTATGGTACAAGTCTAGGGGCACTGGCTGGATGGCAAGGTCAGAGGCCTGTGACCACGGGAACCATGGGTTCCAAGAACAGAAGACAGAACACCCTTTCCTACAAAGTACAAAAAGAGTTGGAGAAAGCAGCCCTCACTGAGGGTGTGTGCAGCACCACCGTGTCCTCAGTTTCTGTGAACTTCCAGGATCCCACTCCAAGTAAACAAAGCTAAATATCAGTTGGGAAATAAAAGCTAAATTACCAAAAAGAAAAAAGGAGGGAGGAGCAAGTAGTTGCTCCAAAGCTCAGAAGCACCACTGTTTACATTCAGAGCACCAGAAATGCCTACATGGTGTGTTCCAAAGCAACTTTACATATAAAGAAATCAACATGTCATTTCCTTCCAGGCACTACAAAGACAGCAGCTGGGGGACTGGCTCCGCACCGTCTGTCCCCAGCCTGTTTTCTGTACGAATATTATCTCCACAGAGCTGCTGCTGGCCAGGATCTCTGGAAACCACGTACCAGAGTCCCCTGTCCACACTGACTGTTCCAAGACCTCTAGGGGCTGCCTAAAGCCACAGATAGCACAGAGCCCTATAATTCGGTGCATTTTCCATCTTAACTAAGCATTTGGCCGCAAATTCTGCAGCCTGAGGTACAACAACAAAACCAGTACAAATTTCTTTTTCCTTCTTCACAATCTGACAGATAGGGAATCTGTTCTTATATAGCTCTCAGCAACGTCAGCATTTTGTCCCCGTGAGCCAAGAGCTTACACCAGCTTTTCACTGAGAGGGAGGTCCTCTCTCTGGTCAGCTGAGCTCCTGTCGTCACTACTCTTGTGCTTTGGGGCCATTATGGAGTCAGACAAGGGTCCCTCGAAAACGAGCACTGTGGAAGCTCCACATAGCAGACATACTTACTATGAAGTGTAAGTGTCCAGTGAGCAGGTAGTGAACACAGCGTGGGACGCTCACTGGACAAAGGGCTAGTGAATGCCCTGGGTAAAACAGTAAGACAGACAGCCCAGAACACTCAAAAATGACAAAGAATTTAAATAGTATGACAGACAGCCCAGAACACTCAAAAATCACAAAGAATTCCTGAAATTTTTCATCTAATATTTTTGAATCATCAAATATAAATGATGAAACTGTGGGTATATGGGAACTACTGTTTTGTGATAATGTATCAAAACAGGATAATATATTATCTACATAGCAGACGCTCAGCAGAACAAGTCAGAGGTTAAAATCTTCAGGGAACAAGCCCCACAGTACTGTGAGATTTACTTCCATCTCCATGGTAACCACTGTGGGGCAGGAGTTCTTTGTTCTTAAAACCCCTAAGAGCATTCATTTGTCCTCAGCAGGCCTGCTGTTGGGGAAGTAACCAGTTGCACCTGCTGGGGGCCTGTTAGAGCTTAAAGACCAGGAAAGGGACCTGGCAACTTCAGCCCCCAGCTAACCTGTCCCGTCCAGATGTAGGTGTGAGACGGCTGAGCCCAGAGTCCAGGCTCATAGGATAAAAACCTGATCACAGGACCACAGGAACTCAGTGCACCACAAGAGGACTTTCAGTATGGTTCCTCAAACATTACACAACTAAACCTTAACAACAACAAAAAAACTACAAGGCATACAAAACTCCAAAAGTAGTTTCAACAAATTTAGCAACACCAGAAGCAGATTCCACATGGTAGGGATTTTGGAATTAAAATAAATTGAGTTCTAAAAAAAAAAGAGCAACTAAGATTAGCGTGCTAAGAGCTCCATTGAGTAAGGCAGTCAGCACGCAAGAATAGAAGTGCAGTTAGTTCAAGTAGAGCAACAGAGTCAGGGAATATCCAGAAATAAATACTGGAAGTCAAGACACTTAGAACAGAAAATCCCAGGAGTGTGGGAAGACATAAGCTGTGCGACTCCAAATGTGTCATGGGAATACTAGAAACGAGAGAGAATGGGGTAAAAGGTGTGATTTGTACCAAGTGACTGGGAATTTCCCTACAGCAACGTCAGGAGGTTCGGAGAACTCATAGAGAATAAACACCCACAAAACGGCAGCTAGGAACAGCATTTACAAAATGAAGAAAGTCAGAGAAAGAAAAAAAGGTGTGCTTTACCTGCAAAGAAAAGAAGATAACAATTAGAGCCAATTCTCAGAGACTACGAAAGCAAGGAGACAGTGAGGTGAACCATTTCAGGTCTTAAGCAGGGAGAGGGAAACCTATCATTCAGTACCATGTGAAATTCTCTAAGAAAAAGTAAAATATTTTCAGCGGCCCCCATCCCCGCCAAAAGGGATGGATTTTGTTTCCAACAAACCCTTCTCTCTAAACTCCTTCCCTGAGAGAAGCTCTTTCAGCAAAAAGAAAATGATTTGGAAATGCAGACCCATGTAGAGATGGGTATCAAAGAGAAGAAACTGGAGGGGAAATAAAAGCTTCAATAATTGACAGACCCCCACCCCTTTCCCCACAAACAAAAAACACAAAACAGCTGTGTTTAAAAGGGCGACAGTGCATTTGACTATGTCTGTATAAATGTAGTTGTCAGGGAAATGACTGAAAATCGAAGGCATGGAGGAATCACAGGGTGGGGGTCCTGTGACTGTGTGCTCACTCACAGCAGCCATAAGTTAGCTTGCTCTATGTAAAGTTAGTAACAAATGCATGATCCTCTTGCGTCAACCTCTGGAATGCTAGGACTACAGATCCTGGGTGCAGCTGCATGCACTCTTAAATCCGATAATACTTCATCAAAATAAAATCTGACCGTCTTTTAAGTGTGATGGAAGACGGGTGTGAACTGCGGAGTCTCCCCGGCTCACACCGGGAGACTGTACCTGAGGCGCTGCTGGGTTGAAGGCCACTTCGGTAACCGTGTCTGTGTGCCCCGCGAGACGATACAGGAAGCTGCTGGAGCCCATTTCATACACGTACGCCTACGAGACAGGACAAGCAGGTGTTGGAGGCTGGCGGGACTGGTGGCCGGCTCCAAACTCTGGCTCAGGTGTGGTCTGTGGCTGACCCAGGACACAGTGACGGCTGACAAGCCTGACACAGTGCCAGCCAAGTCACAGAACTGAGCCACAAAGGCCAGCTCACCTCTAAGTGCGCTCAGCCTCTCTACTTCCTGTCTAAGTGCGCTCAGCCTCTCTCTCTACTTCCGGTCGAAAGCCCGTGGCACCCTCTCAGCAGTCTGAATCGAGTATTCACCGTTGATGACTGATATACTTAGAAAGACACGCCCTTTGCATGCCAATCCTACTTTAAATCCCACGCTAAAGGAGAAGAGATCACATTGTCCCTGCCACGAGCCTGAGAAAACGGGGTACATTCAACTCAGAATATGAGTAATTTGCGTGCCGCCACCGCCTTTAATCCCAGCACTCGGGAGGCAGAGGCTGGCGGATCTCTGTGAGTTCGAGACCAGCCTGGTCTATTGAGTGAGTTCCAGGACAGGCTCCAAAGCTACAGAGAAACCCTGTCTCAGAAAACAATAATTAATAATAATAATAATAATAATAACCAGAGTTATTGTGCTGGCCATGTTGTTAGTTACTTCTCTCTTCTCTGTTGGTGTGACAAAATACCATAACCAAGAGCAACTGAAGGGGAGAAAAGTCCATTGCAGCTTAGGGTCGCAGTCCACATGGCAGGGAAGGCATGGCAGCGGGTGACAAAAACAAGAAACCGTCTGGCTCTGTCTGTCCCTACCTCACTTAGGAGTTTTCCGCTGATATTCCTAAGTTAGATGCATCTGTTCTATGAAGCATGGGGTTTTCATATCGATTACTCCATGCAAAGAAATGCCATGATGCTCTCTTTAGATGTTTGTGATTTGAAACAGGTACCATTGTGTCTTTCTGATCTTTAAGAGGAGGATCTTCTATGAAAACCAGTCCTTTCCACTTCATTTTTCTTTGGGAGAGGATTGCATTAAAGCCCTTTCTTTGGGAAATTATAATGTATGTGAGTTACTCAGGTGGGGTTTGTTTATGCTAAGACCTTGCTATAAGAGCTCAGGTTGGCTTCAAACTCAGCAGGGCTCTCCTGCCTCAGCCGCTTTGTCCTCACATGACTCAAAGCAGACGTGTCTGTAGTTCAAAGTGACCCTATTCACCCTCTGACAGGACACTAATCCATTCCTGCGGGCAGAACCTTGTCGCAGGGGCCATTAAGTTTCAACGCGGATTTTTTTATATATATATAAGCTGTAGTATTTTAGTTTATAACTTTTTCTCATCAGTGTTCATTTTCTACATGAAAATAAACACACAGTTCAGGAATGTCTCAGCAGGCTCCATAAAAGGAAGGTGGCTGTGAATTATTTTCCTTAGATTTTATGCTTCTCGATATCAAGGACTAAATCACATGACAAACAGACACGTGATAGACTGTGCAATGAAGACAATGCGTTTATAAGTCAGCTTAGTGTATTGGCTTTGGGTAGAGAGCAAAGGGAGGGTTTTTTTCCATATTTTCCTTTCTTATGAACTTCCAACTCCTCCTTCAAAATTTGGCTCATGTTAATTTTCCCCATAATTTCTTCTGACTAAATCATTAACTATTAAAATCTCAGCTTCCTCACGTTATGCGGGTATCTCTTAAATCACATTATACTATGTGTTCACATTTCTTATTCTTCTAATTTAGAAGTCTTTCTAGATAGGAATAATTTCTTATATGCAGCTCAGTGCCTGGTGCATACAAGGTTCTCAATAGATCTGCATAGGTCAGACCCGAGGCTTCATACCCATTCCTACACACAATGAAGGAAGAAAGACAAAACCTTCATTTGTTTTATGTGTATACTTACTAAGTATCTGTCACATAGCAGGCAAAGTGAATACAGAGTTACTTTTCACTTTGGCCAATGCCCAAGTCCTTATTATATTTTTAAGTCCATTCTGCTGACTTAGCCTCTAGTAATCCTTTGATTAAACTTCAGGCACAGTTGGCAGATGTTCTTTCATACAGCACCATAGTATTTACCATGAAATACTCTACAACAGTGGTTCTCAGCCTTCCTAATGTGTGACCTTTAATACAGTTGCTCATGCTGTGGTGACTCCCCCAACCACGACATTATTTTGTTGCTACTTCATAACTGTAATTTTGCTGCTGTTAAAAACCGTAATATAAATATTTGCTATACGGGATATCTGATATGCAACCCCCAAAGGGGTCATGAACATGGGTTGAGAATCATGGCTCTAAATGCTGTCTGAAAAAGTAGAGGATGGATATCACTCTCACTCCAGTTTGACAAAGGAATAACCAAGGCACTGGACCTCCTCGTTTTGGTGGCAGTGGAACAGTATGATACTTTCAAATGCCAAACATCCCTTTGTGTAAAAAGCCAAAACACTGATATATAATACCATGAACAAAAACAACCAGTAAATGTCTCAGGACACACTTCTCTTTTCTTCTGTTGCCTGAATGCACAGTGTCAGGTACAAAGAGCATGGCGGTAGACAAAATAGGAAGTGTAGGAAGTGTAGTTAGTCAATGATGTATAAGTCTTCAGAGGCTTTATATTAACCTTTGCAATTGTTTCTAAAAGTTTGGCAGTATTCCAGAGAAACAAGCAGTTGTTCCAAAGAATAAAGTGCCATGCATATTTAAAGTCTTTTCTTTTCGAAGCTAGTCATTTTTCCCTAGGATTTTGTTGACCATTGACCTTCTAAATTTCGCACCTACTAGAGAAAGAATCAGTTGACCATGCATTAGTCTTGGCATCTTAAGGCCAAGCTTGTTAACAGTGGGGTCTTGTCTCCTCCCGTGGAAGCCTGAGCTCCTTTCCGAGATTATGTTGCAAGACTGGGGTAGACCAAGGAGGGCTGGGGCACTTCTCTGTCCCCCACCGGCACCACAGAAGTCATCCCTCGGTCAGGCCCAGGCTCTTGCTTGGGCACCACCATTTTTGTGCCTCATGTGACCCTCTCAGAATGGATTTTTTTATGAGGACACTATAGGAGACAAACATCCAATTCATTAAACGACCTTTCAGGTGACCGAGGGATTTGAGGCACTCAGTGGAGGAAGAGGAAGGGGCTAGCACAGTTTCCAGCCAAGGAGCACCAAGACCTCACAAGGGGGCTAGCCTCCTCTGTGGGATTAGCCTCCAGCTAAGTGGCAGTACATGGCCCTGGAACACTTTAAGACCTCTGTGTTCCAAATCTGCAGGAGGTGGGGATCTGGCATGGAGGAAATGTGGTGAGGAAGAGCAGCAACTGCATTGGGAGAAGTGTACAGCTCTCTGTGCAACCCAGTAGAAATGAGGACACCTTTGCACGTGAGCCCCACTATACAGATTGGTATCTTCACCTTGTCATTCCTACACCACACGGTACAGTCGTTCATGAAGTGCATACCCACTGTCTAGGATAACTAATAAATGAGGAAATATGAGTGATGGATAGTAAGTGTGTATTGTGATTCAGTAAAAACTGAGCCTTTCTAATGCTGGGTGAGTTTCTTAAAATACTGTCAGTCTTGACATAGACTTTTTACCCCAATATTCAACGGTGCTGAAGGTCTATTTGATAACACCGCCTAGAAGTCCTACACGTGGAGGAAGCACACATACATACGTGTCTGTCCTCTGCACCACAGCCCATGAGCCTTCCACAGGGACTAAAAGCAACTCCACAAGGGTAAGAGCGGTTTGGATGTCCTTCGAAGCGCCGTACGCACCTGAAGGGCAGAAAGGAACAGCTGAGCAGATAACAGGGCTGCTACGTCTTAAGACAAACTAGAAGACATCAACATGTGTGGTGATATTCGTCTAGGATCTAATGGATAAAGCTTGCCTGAAGATCAGAGTACAAAGCTAAGCACTCTAGCTAGCCACAGAAGCCAGGCAGTGGTGGCACACACCTCTAATCTCAGCACTCGGGAGACAGAGGAAGACAGATCTCTGTGAGTTCAATGCCACCCTGGGCTACCTGAGAGTGAATCAGTCTAAGAGAGAAACAGCTCACACAAAGGAGATCTCAGCACTTGGGATCCCACACCTTTGATCACAGCTCTAGAGGGGGATATAAGGCGGCGGGAGACAGGAGCAGTGCAGTCTGAGGTTTGGTGGAGACAGGATCGCCCATTTCGGTCTGAGGTAAGAACTAGAGGCTAGCTGCTTTGCTTTTCTGATTTTCAGCTTTAACCCCAATATCTGTCTCTGGGTTTTTGTTTTTCATGCTACAAACATGTTTTTTAGGTAATAGCTTAAGAAAAAAAAAACTTTCTTTGATGCCTGTGTGTGGTGCTGAGAATCAAACCCAAGGCTTTTTTTTTTCATGCTAGGCAAATACTTCCACTGAACTACATCCTTGAAAAAATGTCATATTGATAATTATTTAATGGTAGGTAATTGAAGAGACCTTTAAAATAATTTAAACTCTCTTCAAAACCATAAATTCCCAAAGATATAAAAGATGAACCTTTATACATGAGAAACATTAAATAAGCAGTTTCTAGTGATTATTATACATTTTCCAAGCAAATCTAAAATCATAAATTATGTAAAGAAACAACCCATAGCTTTTGGGGAGGTGTAGCATTCTATTAAGAGGTTTGAGTTTCACAACCATTTAGCACATGCTATATAAAACTTGCTCATTGGGGGGAAAAAGTCAATGATTTTAGTAGTTTTATTAAAAGGGGACCTAGTAGAGAAGGTCTTCCTTAGAAAGGCATCAACAAGCATGGCCAACACCTTGTGGGTACCCTGGGGCATGGCAAGACGGAACAGCATCCCTGAATAGTAGTCGAGATCTCAGTTAAACCACACGATTCAGGGTGAAGCGTTTATATTTCTTCTACTGACAAAGAGCAAAGGAAGCACACTGCTGCTTGTTGCCCTGTGACTATCTGTGTACCGCGAACATATACGAACACTTGCCAATTTCACGACACTGTGTGTGTGTGTGTGTGTGTGTGTGTGTGTGTGTGTGTGTGTGTGTGTGTGGACTATACAGTGATGGCTTATGATATTGCAATTACCAGAAGATAAAGGTTAACAAATAGTCACAAGAGGGAGATCAGACAGCCTAAGGTGAAGTACCATCGGTGTTACCCCCGGGGAGCTGTGTGAGCCCAGGGCTAGTGTCCAATGTAAGCAAGACACATGTGACAGGAAAGGGGGGGGAAAACATAGTGTGCACACCCTTCCTCACATCTCTGACTGTCGGAAGCCGTGTGCGACTGACCCTTGGGGAGCAGACTAGCACCTATGGCTTTTACCATACACCAAGTGATGGCACTGATTCTGTGTACAAGCCGCCAGTCTTCTCCAGAGCGCTCCTAGACTAGTCATAGCCTCGCAGTATTTGCAACCAGGATCGGGTTGCATTCCCGGCGGCTCAGTTCCAGTTTCCCCTGGGGCAGTGCTTCCATGCAGGCTGGCCTTACCCCAAAGTCCTCAGGTCCCACAGTCGGACCCCGTCACCAACAGCTGTGGTCAGGAAAAGATTATACGCCACCGACGGCTGGGTCGTAAATGATGATCCCTGTCATCAGAAGGGGAAAATAAGAGCTTTTTTAAAAACTTTTTACCTATCTGAGTTGGGAGGGGATGCATGCCACAGCAAGTGTCTGGACAGACCTCTGACAGCTTGCAGGAGTTGGTTCTCTCTTCCCTCATGTGGAGCCTGGGGATAAAACTCACGTCACCCTCAGGCTTAACCTCAAGTCCCTTCACCTGCTAAGCCATCTCGCAGACCCCAAGATGACAGTACTGGAGATCTAAAGCCAGAAGTCAGCATAACCTCTCTTAAATCCATAGCTTTCCAGTGGGACTCTAAACCTCTATGCAGCCATGAACAACATAGCAGCCTATGTAGATAACACACTGCACATGCAAGAGGGCCTCTGGAGACTACAGCCCGGTGATGTCGTAGCATCGCAGCCTGTGTGAGTACACTCTGTGACTAACGATGCAATTCTCAGAACACAACCTCAGGTTGAGCAACAGCATGATAACCAGCCAAGCACACTCTCCTCTTAATAATCAGTGTCTGTCTTCTCCACATTCAATGCCCTTGAGAGCCACAGAACTACAAAACAGCCACAGATAAAAAGACTAAGATGCTTACACACCAGCATTTTTCGGTATTGATGGCCATCTTTATTCAGCCAATTATCTGGGAGACAATGCACTCCTTAATGAGTACTTAGAGTTATTGGTCAGTTATCGCACTCTAAGATACACTGAGTGGGTGCCTTGGTGATGAAACACATGTGATCCCATGGACCTTGGAACCCCATGTGCCACTGGGAATCAGGGCTCTGCAAGTCCAGGCCTTGACATCTGATGACTCTGGTGGTCCCCCAGAAGAATGATGGGCCCCATCAGAGGATCCATTTGGCTCAAAACATTCCTCAAACACACTATAATTCATCAGAAGTCCATTCTCTTGCTCCGTCAGGATTACCTGAAATATTATGACCAACTTGTCCAAGATCTAACACTAATGCACAAACAGACTTAGCGGAGCCCATTCTACATGGAGAGACACCACACCCAGCGTAGATACAGGGGTGTGGGGATGGAGAGACGCCTTGGTCCTGCTCAACGAGATGATGGGACAGACTTAGTAGACTTCCTAGGGGAGGCCTTACCCTCTCCAAGGAGCAGATGGGAGGATGGGGGAAGGCAGGGGAGTGAGAGAAAAGGGAGGGAGGGGGAACTGGGATTGGAATGTAAAAAAATATTTTAAAAAGCTAAACTTACAGAAGAAAAAGATGGACCTAGAAGTCATTCTTCTTTTACAAGCAGGAAGCAAACGCTCACATTAAGCTGAGTGAGAACGAGCCTCACTCTAAGGGTTAACCATGCCAGACAGCACGTTGCACGCTTCTTCTGCTCTTCATCCTTTCAGCAGATGAGGCAGGCCCCATTCATAGCCAAGAAATCTGATACACGGTGGCCTATTCACTGCCTCACAGCTGTGAAGCTCGACTTGGTTCAACCCTGAGTTACCTGGCAGGAAAGCCTCAACTGGAGGATTTCCCGGAGCACGGACAGCAGACTGTGGATGGTGCACAGGTTGGCGAAACCTGTCGGCAGACTGTCCCTGCTCTGCAGGCAAAGCCAGCGTTGGCCCAGGCCGGCAGTAGACTCCTGATTCAGTGAAGTCGTCAGACAATAGGTAAGACCATGGTGCTGGAGAAGAAGCTGAGGGTCCTACATCTTGGCCCACAGGTGACAACAGGAAGTGGTCCGAGTGTCACACTGAGTGTAGCTTGAGCAAAGGAGATCTCAAAGCCAACTCCCACAGTGACACATTTCCTCCAACAAGGCCACACTTCCTAATAGTGCCACTTGCTGTGAGCTTATGGGGGTCAATTACATTCAAGCTACCACAGCAACCAATCTGCAAGCACTTCCTGCGCTCTGTCCCTGTGAGCACCCTCCTGGTGCCGCCCTGCTTTCTCTACCCTTTGTCCACATGCATAATCAGATGGAAACTGAGTCTGCGATCACACATTCTTCTGATGACAGTACGGGTTCCTCAGGCACAAGGACCTTGCTTTGCACTTATGTATACAAAGACACGTGACTGCCTTCCTCCCCATGGCTATTCGATGCAATGTTTAAAGAGAGAAAAGCCCACTTTAAACACAATATTACAACAAAATCTAATCTCCTGGGAGAGACCAACTACTGGAGATGCATATGTTGCGTTGGTTAGCACTTGTTTTTGTCTCAGCTGAGAACTGGATGCTCTTAAAGAAAGCGGATCCATTCTAAGGATGTTGTGCACTTACTCCTTTTTCACACATGCACACGAAACTGACCCAAATCCTCCCCTACTCCCTGAGATCTCTGCCCTCTGCACCTTCATGTCTACCTGTTCCCCACATCCCACTACGTCTAAGTGGTGCTGCCTCTGTGTCTACGGTTATGGGGCCATTCTTTGAAACACAGACAACCTATCAGCAGCTATAACCCCACAGAAAAATTACCCCCCTTCAGGCAGCCATTGGCTGCCAATACCCACCCTGGGTAGGGCATTACACGTCCCTGTCCCATCCGTGTTGGAGTATTAATTGGCTGGGTCTTGCTCAGGTAACCACAGCTGCTATGAGCAATGGCCATGTTGTGTCTAGAACACAGTATTTCACAGAACAACTTCCCATCCTCCAGTTTTTGAACTCTTGCTATTCCCTTCCCAAAATGTTCCCTGGGTCTTGGGGGCAGAAAGGAAAGCACGTGGCACAGATGCTCTGCTTGGGGTGAGCATTCAGTCTCTTGTTCTCAGCACTTTGACCAACCCTGAGTCTGTGCTGACTGCAACCCATTGCCAAAAGAAGTTTCTCTGACCAAAGATTAGACCATTAATCTATGGGTACAAACATAAACATTTACAAGGCAGTTCAATAACATATCCATTTAGGGAAAATAGCCTTAGTAGTTCCCCCAGGGCCTATGACATTCTGAGCCTTGGGCCTTTGTGACCAGCTTTATAGTAACCAGACCTGAGTTCCTCCCAGAAAGCAGGTGGTCACTCCCATAGCCATCATGCTACTATTGCATGGGGGGGTGCGTCTTACCCAGTGGGCTAGCATTAGGACATGCAGGGTCCACTACTGGATAGTTGGCCTGCACAGCACCTTACTGTGATAGATAACCAGCGGGAAGTTAGCTATCAAGATAGTTCCAGCTTGACTTATCAATATCCTACAACCGTAGCGTAGTGTCTTTAGCAGTGAGTCGCCATCTAGCTATGATGGGAAGCCAAAAGCAATGACAACAGCCTGGGCTAATGTGGGGCCTCTGAGGCCTTCTGACTCATGGGGAAGTATCCCAATCCTACCACTGAAAGACTGAAAGTTTTGGGCAAGCCTGAGCTACTTAATGAGAGGCTGCCTCAAAAATAAAACCATGTCTTTAGTTTACAGGAGCAAGCAAACAAAAACACGTGACAGGGAGATGGCTCAGTGGCTGTACTCCTTACCCTGCGAGCTTGACTACCTGAGTTCAGACCTCTAGAGCCCATGAACCGGCTGTGGGGACAGCTGCCTGTATTCTCCGCACTCCTGCAGTACAACTGGAGTCAGAGCTCCTGGAAGCTTGCAGGCCAGCTAGCCCACAGCACACAGCACAGGGACAAACAACAGACACCCTGCGTTGGGTAAGATGGAAGGCAAGGACTGCCACTCAAAGTTTTCCTCTGACCACATGAGTGCCATGGTACATGCACACACTCACACACAAACATGTGTATCATCACACACACACACACAGCTCTTTTTAAAATCAGCTTTTTTTCATGAACCTTACATGGCTTTTAGGTAACGAGTCACTCTAGGACTGTCCTGGTTGGTTGCTTTTGTTTTCGTTTTTGTTTTGCTTTGTTTTACCAACTTGGCACAAATTAGAGTTATCTAGGAAGAAGAACCTCAGTTAAGAAATGCCACCATCAGACCCTAAGAGAGACAGACATGGTCCCCGGAGAGGGGGTAAGGGACAGGATCTCTTGAGCTAATTGGGAGTATGAGTGGAGGGGAAAGAGAGCCAGGAGAAAGAGAAGGGGAGAAGAGGAGGGGAGAGGAGGACATGAGGGAGCAGGAAGATTGAGTCAGGAGAAGAATAGAGGAGAGCAAGAAAAGAGATACCATAATAGAGGGAGTCTTTATAGGTTTAAAGAGAAATCTGGCACTAGGGAAATGTCCAGAGATCTACAAGGAGGACCCCAACTAACAATCAAAACAATAGTCGAGAGGCTGCCTTAAATGCCCTTCCCCGATAATGAGATTGATGACTACCTTATATGCCATCCTAGAGCCTTCATCCAGTAGCTGATGGAAGCAGAAGCAAACACCCACAGCTGGGCACTGAGCTGAACTCCTGGAGTCCAGCCATGGAGACAGAGGAGTGATGAGCAAAGGGTTCAAGACCAGGCTGGAGAAACCCACAGAAACAGATGACCTGAACAAGGGGGAGCTCATGGACCCCAGATTTATAGCTGAGAAACCAGTATAGGACCGACCCAGACCCCCTCAACGTAGGTGTCAGTTAGGAGGCCTGGGCAATCTATGGGGCCTTTAGCAGTGGATTAGTATTTATCCCTAGTATCTAAATGGACTTGGGAGCCCATTCCACATGGAGGGATGCTCTCTCAGCCTAGACACACGGGGAAGGGCCTAGGCCCTGCTCCAAATGATTAACAGACTTTGAAGATTCCCCCATGGAAGGCCTCACTCTCCCTGGGGAGCAAAAAAGGGATGGGATAAGGGGCTGGGGAGGGGCAGGGGAGGAGGAGAGGGAGAGGGAACTGGGATTGACATGTAAAACAAGCTTGTTCCTAATTTAAATATTAAAAGTAAAAAAAAAAAAGAAAAGAAAGAAGATGCCTCCATCAGATGGCCTGCACGTCTGTGGGGCATTTTCTTGATTTAATGATTAATGTGGGAGGATGCAGGGACTATGGGTGGTGCCACCCCTCGACAGGGGTTTTCTAAGTTGTATAAGAAAGTAGCCTGAGCCAGGGAAAGCAAACTAGTGAGCAGCTCCCTCCACGGCTTATGTATCAGTTTCTGTCTCCAGGCTCCTCTCTCGAGCGCTTCCCTCCGTGATGTGACCATAAACTGTAGGGTGAAATAAATGCTTTTCTCTCCAAGTTGCTATTGGAGCATTGGAAACCTAACTAAAATAGGACTTGGTCCATTAGACTATTAGCCCCACCTTTCAACACATCTGAGAACATCTTTAAAAACCACAGCGCATCGAAGAGGGTAGTTGTATCCCACTGTGCAAGGAGAGTATGCGACTCAGAGACCGTCACAGCCTGCAATGGGCATGACTGCCGTTCATTTCCACCATCACAGACACACCGAGCCCTACCCCAGCTTAGGTGAGAATGCATTGCTAGTCACAGACGCTTACATGGATCAGCAGAGACAAGGAACAAACAATCCCACACAAAGTTAAGGCGTTAAGACGCCTGCAGGAGCCAGAGATGCGGGCAACACGCTGCTCTTCTAGAGGACCTCAGTTGGGTTCCAATCACTCATATCGGGTAGCCTAGAAGTCCCTTTAAGTCCAGCTCCAGGACAATCCACAGACACTGGCACCGACACACAGATACGCACACATACACACATAATCTAAAAATACAATAAATAAATGAATCTTGAAGATATCTGTAGCAAAAGGAGAAAGTTTAACGCAGTTTGATGACCAGGAAAAAAAGCTAATAATGGATCCGGCAGTAGTTATTAGTCTGCATCATAATACAATAAGCTAAGAAGTTTTAAATACTCCTTCTGCTGTCTGCAAACTTACTTTATTTTGACAGATTTGATGGGCAGGCCGTGAATGGACCTCAGCTATCACTGCAGCACTGTGGCCGACGTTAAGGTCAAAAACTTCCACGCTCCGGTCCCGACCAGCTGTGAGTATGAGATCTGCAGGGGGTCAGTCAAGGGATCATCTCGGAAGTCTCATCTGTGGGCACACAGCTCTACCCATTTTATCATCAAAAACAAAACACGGGGACCTCGCAGGACTCAGAAATGGATAATTAGTAAAGAACTTCTGAAGTTCCAGAGACAATACTCAGTGCAATTCTACCAGCGAGGGCAGGAGCGGAGGAGGCGGCGGTGGAGATGGGGTCAGTGCACCGCACAAGACACAGTGGAGACCGCCAGCGACGGGGATACATGGTGTGAGGTGACAGGTCAGAGCGCAGCCCACTAGGTGGCGTCATCAGCACAGGTTGTAGACCACATCGTGCTGTGTCAAAAGGCAGCTGCTGAGTTTTGACAGCCCAGTGCATGGGATCCAAGGAAGCCCACAACAGGTGTGATAGATCGTTTTCAAGGATGCCCACAGTGGGTGACGCATTATTCAGTAAACACAGACAAGTCTGGTGAGCTCGCACAGCGAGGTCATAACCCAGACTTAATCCTTAGAGGTGCTTCTTACTATTCATGTAAGGTTACTCCACCTACAATTACGGTAAAAGGCCCCACGTTCTACATTTGTCCTTCGTGCCCAGCAGGATGCCTGGGGCTTCTCAGGTGCCCAGAAAGGGCTTTGCCAGAAAGCAATGCTCAGCGCAAGGCACAGCCACAGACCGGAAGGAAGGATACGGGAATAAAAGTCATTCACTGCAGACAAGGTGGCCACATCTGCTCCACTGGTCAACGGGAGACTGAAAACGGGCTTATACCTGCTTTTTGGTTTATACCTGGAAGAAATGGGGGGGTGAAGATGACCAATGCTTTTACTTCTGGACCACAACTAAACATTCTACATTTAAGAACATAAAAATGAAAAAGAAAATAAAGGTTTTTTATTGCTTAGCCATATGCTTTAATACTAAGGGGATGAGTGAATAAGCCACCTTAATCTTCCTTTGGGAAATTAATTCAGTTTTCTATCAGAAATTCTGGGTTGTTGTTTTTGTCTCTAGGAATGCTTCGTGAAAGTAACAGTATATTATATAGCCAAGATAACTGATGTAACTATGGGAAATCAAGTTTGTCTCTTAATTCTAAAATACTTACGTATTCCCTTATAGGTACTCAGCCAATTACGCAGCGTTAATATCTCATCCTAAATATTAGTCTTTATTGCTTTCAGGAGGGTAACATGAGCATTGGGTATTACTTTAATAGACGCGGGATCTTAACCACGGAAATAATTTTCTAAGGGAAAATAACTGGTAGGCTAGCCCAGGAAGTAATCTCAGCCCAGCGTGAGCACAGCTTGGCAAGGACAAGGCAAAAGGAATGTCAAAAGAGTCAGACTGGTGGCCCAGAAGAGCCAGGCCAGGACCCCGGGCAGATGCTGCACGGCCCGGGGTGGAGACTCCTGTGTCCCCCAACAGATGGTGAAGGGAGCTGCCTGGAAGAGCGCTGTAGCTAAGGCTGAGAAACTCTGGAATAGGTCTCTGAGCAACAGAATCCAGAAGGGGCATAAGGGAGGTGACCACGTAGAGAAAACAGAGTGCAGTCAAGTCTCGAGGGAGGCTTGAGAATAAATGTTCAAAGACGGGGCGGTGGTCACACAGAAGGCCATGGAGAAACACTGCTTAAGTTACACGGAAGCATGGCTGAGAAGGAAGTCACCAGGAACAATGGGATGAGGGAAGACTTCCCAGAAAGGTGGCCAGGCAGAGGCGTAAAGAAGAAAAAAGAACCTGAAAGAAGGCCATGCAGATAACCCAGCAGGGGTGAACACAGTCGTGGTCCTCAGCCCTCTTTCAGAATTAAAACTGTACCGGTTAGAAGCCCCGTTCACTGCCACCAACTGAGCTGTAGTGTGGATTATTTATTCCAAGCCTGTGTCAAGGAGACACAGAGAGAGAGAGAGAGAGAGAGAGAGAGAGAGAGAGAGAGAGACTCAATTCATACCATTAGTAAAATTCTGGCTAGGCTAGAGTCCATAGTGGCGATCAAAGGAAAAAAATAAGCGCTGGTGACTTCAGAGACAAAGATGTCTGCACAGAACAGTACACCAATGACTAGAAGTCCTTGTTGGGATCCACTTCTGGTCTTCCTGACAGAAGCTGCCAATCACAGCAGGCAGTGCTTTCTGTTTTGGGGTGGAATGAGTTGATGTGGAATGGGATGGGGTAGGGTGGGATAGAATGGGATGGGATGGGGTGGGGTGGGGTGGGGTGGGATGGGATGGGGTGGGGTAGGATGGGATGGGATGGGGTGGGGTGGGGTGGGATGGGATGGGATGGGGTGGGATGGGGTGGGGTAGGATGGGATGGGATGGGATGGGGTGGGGTGGGGTGGGGTGGGATGGGATGGGGTGGGGTGGGGTGGGATGGGGTGGGGTGGGGTGGGGTGGGGTGGGGTGGGATGGGGTGGGGTGGGGTGGGGTGGGGTAGGATGGGGTAGGATGGGATGGGATGGGGTGGGGTGGGGTAGGATGGGGTGGGGTGGGATGGGGTGGGGTGGGGTGGGGTAGGATGGGATGGGGTGGGATGGGGTGGGGTAGGGTGGGGTGGGGTGGGGTGGAGGGGAGGGGAGAACAAGACGAGATACAGCAGGGTACGGTGATAAGATGGAAAATGCACTGTGTGGCTGGGTGAGTGGGATGGATGAAGTGGGTTGGGTTAGTTTCTGCACTGGACCCAAAACTACAAGGCAGTCCCAACACTACGGTGCAGCCCAGCACGCGAGTTTACGTGTAGAGCAGGCAATCAGTAGCTCCTCATTGTACCTTGCGTCATTTTACCCTGCTATGATGACATGACGCGTCCTGCCTATAATGACAAACAGGTTAAGCAAAATTACAGTTGCTGCTGTCCAAGAAATTTGATGAACTCCAACAGTCACCTGCAAATCACCCTTCAGGATCCATTTATACCTATGCTTCTATCACCTTTCCACTGATAATGAAAATAAAATATGTTTTATTATATAAGGTGGCAAATATAGAAGGAAAACAAAATGTCTCTTTTTACATAAGTGAGCATTGCGATGAATATTCTACCAGACATTTTAGTATGAAACCATATTTATGTTAATTTTTACTTTAAAATATCAGAAATCTATCACTATTATTAGATATTTCTCTAAGTAACATTGCAGTGTTTGTACTGAATACAGAATGTGAACACCACTGTTCAAGCATGCATTCAATTTCCCAGCATTAGAAATTACAGCAACTACTTAACAGACGCTCCTGACATTCTCCTTTCCGTTTATCCATGGCTATTTCCTTAAGATGATTAAAGAAAGGGGGAATATAGAGACAGAGGCAGACGCCTCCTCAGAACCTCATTTTAAGACTGCAGTAACTGCTGCTCTAGTGTAGTGGCAAAGTGATGGTTGGGACCAAAAATGAGTGACCAAAGGGTAAGAGCAGGGGGGAC